TGAGATAAAGCATTGCTTTTAATCTTTGAACAATTTCCTTTGCATCTTATTTTGTAGATTTTTATCATAATGCTCAGGTTGTTTTTTATATTCTATGACCTTGAGTTATAGAATATAAAGCAAAATAAAAAAACAAACAAGTAGTCAAAAGTGAATAAATTTGTTATTGATTAAATTTGTAAAAATCCATAATTTTTCTATTAATGTGCACAGAAATATGTTTGGGAAAGGAAATAGGACAAGCTAAGTTTGTTCAGGAAAAGATTAATATACATACACCTAAAATAAGATGCTTAGGTGAGAAATTAATTCTTGCAGCTTATTAGCACTACATTTGTTGAAATTATTATATTAAAACAAAGTAGTATCATTTTTTTTTTTACAACTTGCTTCGATTAAAATAAAATGAAATATAATTAAAAAACGGACAACCTTAAGGGCCCATTGATTATATTTTATTTCCCCAGGAAAGGGATTTTTTCCTGGTTTTTCAGATCACATTTCCAAGCATAAAAAAATGGTTTAAAATTTACATGTTATTTTTATACAAGCTTTTGCGGGGTGGTTTTAAGTTGATGTAAGGTGATAGAAAGAGGGGGACAACAGATATAGTGGAAATTAGAGAAAATATATAATATATATATATATATATATATATATATATATATATATATATATATATATATATATTTACTCATACAAGTAGTGGGAATAAAATATACAATAAACTTAGGGCTCAATGCCAAAGTCAATAGAGCCTAATTATCAATAACAAAATCTGCTACTCAGAGTTTCATATAATAACAATCATCAGGCAGAAGCCGAGTAGCAGATTTTATTATTGATATATATATATTACAACCACAAGTCATCTTTTAAGTTAAAAAAAACCTTAAGAATTCTACTGTACTAACCAACCATGTGTGGAAATTAAAGTAAAAAAAATTAAAAAATGATCCAATTGTAAACTGGAAAATTTTTTAATAAAAGTAAAACCTATAACAATCATAGTAATATCTGCAACCTTTGTCAACAAGAATAGTTAGCTATAACAACATTTCCAGACTAAAAAAAAAACTTTTGAATGACGCGTATAAATACTAAAAAGTTTCTTTTGTGTTCATATGAAGTGGGATAAAGACATTTTTTCCTTTAGAGATCTTTTGGGCCAATACTTCATCAGAAGGAAAATGTTGGCGTAATTTATGATGAAAAAGAGATAATATTCACAGTAATAAAAAAAAAAAAAAAAAAAAAGAGATGAGAAAAAATTGTGGAATATGATTAAAATATATTTATTGGTAAAATAATTTACGAATAAAAAATAAATAGTTCCACATGAGTGTAAAATGGAAAAATAGTACTCACAAACCTCCTAAAAGATTAAGTGAGAAAATAAAATGCTCCTTCTGTTTGCACAGAGCCGGTTGATGTAATTTGATGTGAGCTGCTTCAAGCAGACATAAATGATGAGCGGGCCAGGCTCTGTGCAAAAGTGTGAAAGAATTGTTCACATATTTACTTGCACAGTCTAGATTATCAAGCAAGTGCTAGCCAATGGCTCAGTCATTTGCAGACTGAGTTACTCTCAAAGAGTGACTCAAATCACCCAGTCTTATACTGGCATATATATATATATATATATATATATATATATATATATAGGGTGGACTCTCCTGTTGTAGTCAAGCAGCTCAGTTCATAGGAACTGACATCCCAGACACCAGCACATATGATTTGATTATAGTGGTGAAGGCTTTGTGCAGAACCAACCACACTTTTTGAAGGGCTGAATACAGAGACCTGGTGCACTACGTGCCACAAGGTCCCCAAACGACCCTCCACAAGTTTTGAATTCAGAGTTGTCCTTCTAGATAAGTTGCCATGCAAGGCTACAGAACCCAGTCTGTCCTGCTCTTTACCTATAGCTGGAGGGAGAAGAAGAGGTTTAGTACCCTTCCCAAGGTTATTAGCACATAAGTGAATGTAATCGATTCAACTGGAACTTGAACTCTGCTCTCTGATTCCTCAATCCGAGCCACTATCCACTACTCCACTGTGCCTCCACACACACACACACACACACACACACACACATGTGAATACATGGGAAAAAAATTAAGCATGATAGTTACGTCTTGCTTATGATGTTAAATCAATATTGCTTTCCTTTTGGATAATGGTAAGATTAAGAAAAAATATCAATAGTGTGCCTTGTCTTCATATCATCTTAAAACTTTTACAATGAACTTTAATCTGGAAAGTTGAGATAAAAAACAAAAAAAAAAAAAATTTTTCAGAGAGGTTTTTCTTTTATTTCTTTACCTATACAGACTTCTAACATTGTTTTTTTAATATCCATCCAGACTTGTAACATCAGGATTTTAATTTTTTTTTTTTTTTATCATCTATGCAGACTTGTTACAGGAGTTTAACTGAAAGGAAATGACCAGTTTTTTTTTTTTATATAATTAATCAAAAAAGAATGGATTCAAACACAATATCAGTGAATTTTATCAATTCTGGGATTTGAAGTTCTTCCCCCCCCCCCCTGATGCAGAGATGAAGGCATAAAATTCTTTTAGAAAATTAAGTGTAAACACACTATCAGTTAAGAGACAAAACTTATATGATGCAAAGTTGGTGATGATTATTATCAATTTAATAATATTTTAAATATCACAGAATAATGGTTTGAGAGTTGTGAATAAAAAGAAATTTGAGTTAAAAATTAATTAGTAGCCATTTTGAGTTAGTTGGGCAACTAACCAGCTCCTTTCACATGTCTCAGTAAGTATTTATTCATGCTTACAGTGTCTTTGGGAAAAGTAGCTCTGACGGAGCTCATCCCTCTTGGAATCAGACCCCAGTTGATGTCCTTGGACTTGAAGGCACACCTTAGTCATAGACCCATGGCCTCCAATTCCAGATTTCACAATGCTTTATATAAAAAATTAAAACATTACCACTTGTACTATTAGCGTGTTGCGCGACTTATCTAAAAAATTACTGCTTAATTCCCTTATATGTTGATATTGCTGACTTTACAAGTACTGATAAATGTACAAACTGTTTGAAACCTGAATTTTTCTATTTTGAGGAAAGTGCATCATGACCTTATCATTGTAGCACCTGGAACAGAACTTAATGTATCAAATTTGCAGTTCAGTTTCCAAAACCACATGTATTAACAGAAGTCGCTTAAAAAAATAAAATCTATGTATTCATATACAAGTTAAACTGGCTACATGCAATGAGAAACTGCAATTATAGAATTTTTAAAGTTTTTTTTTATTTCTATTTATGAGGATATTACAGTGTCTATTAATGTTTATATTAGACAATGTTGTTTCAATGTTGTATATTTGTTGTTGCAATAATACTTCAGTTGAACAATTCTTCAGTCCTTATCAGAAGTAATCACTGAGAAGAAAAAGTCCAGAATACAACAGAGTCAGAAATTGATTAATATGCCCGCTAGCCTAGGTACACCAAGTGCCCACATGATTCCAAATTCTACCAAAGAGGTGAGCTTCCTAACATCAACTTTGCTAAGGAAAGTAAACAATGCCATGTTGAAATTTGTAGACAGGCCTATACATGCTTCCTCCTTCAGTTTCCTCACTCCCCAGCTATTAACAAACAATTTGTGCTACCTGTTTTCTGGAGTTTGGTTTCCTTCTTTTTTCCTTCTTATGGATTACATGTGATAAAGGCTGAATAATGTATTGGTTGAAAAAGTGTGTTAACAATAGCAAATATATAAAGAAGAGATTTCAGTGTCCAAACTATGTTGGATATATTAATGACGCTGTTGAGAATCATCGACAAGTTATTAAAGCTTAAAGAAAAAAACAGTCACATGAATTAGATTTCAAATTAAACTATTTTTCTTTTTGATAAATTCATGAAATAATGCTTCAGAAGCAAATAATATTCCTTTTGCATAAAAATTTACAAGAGATATTAAATTACAAATTTAAAAAGAAAAATCTAAGTTGAGCTAATATTTTTTTAATGTAATGTTACATTCAGGACATTGGCAATTATGATTCACCCCAGATTTTTTTTTTTTTTTTTTAATTATCTGTGATTTTCAGGTACTGCCTGGTTCACACTCCTTCCCCATATTTTGAACAGGAGTAGAGTTTTATTTCTTGTTTCCAGTTTGGGAGAGGGTTGTTTCTTCTCTCTTTTGAAACTTTAATAAGAGTGGCTGTCATGACTTTCATAGAAAAATTTTTTTTTTTTAAATTCTAAGCTAATATTTTTTCTTAATGCTATGTCCATTCAGGACATCAGCTAACATGACTCTCCACAGACTCCTTTTCTTTAGTGTCTGTGAATTGCCATGCCTTCTTGGGAAAGATAGTAGAGTGGTTTCCTGTTCCCTTAACCTAAGCCAGTTCTCTTTTCCTAACCTAGTTGCACTTTTAGAGACCGTGTCCTTTAACGACGGAAGCGGTCATGGCTCTCCACAGACTCCTTTCCTTTATTATCTTTGAATTGCCATGACTTCTTGGGAAAGATAGTAGAGTGGTTTCCTGCTCCTTTCACCATGATTTTGAATTCACAGTTGTCATTCACCTAAACTAGGTATGTTTATAGATGCCATTTCCTTTCAGAACAGAAGTGATCATGGCTCTCCACCAATTCCTTCTTTATTATTTCAGAATTGCTCTAACTTCTTGGGAAAAGACAGGAGTGGCTTCTTGTTAGCTTCGCTATAGTTTTGAATTCAGAGTCTTCCTTGTCTTAGACATGTTGCCACTCAAGACTAGAGAACACAGTCTACACTGTCATTTAGCCCATGACTGAACGGTGGAGAGAAGAGATGGGTTTATGCCTTTCTCATGCTGACATATCTTTTTTTTTTTTTTTTTTTTAAATATCCAGTTTATAAAATAAAAAACACGTGTCATATAGAAATCCAGAGGTAGTAACAGTGAACAACATTTGTAGATACTGTCTCAAAAACAAGACAACTGCAAAAGAAAAAGGGCTTGTTCTCATATGATCACTCAAGTTAAGCGACTTCGAGCTTGGTCATTACCTAGATGGGTAACCACTTGGGAATACCAGGTGCTATGAGCTTGGATGTGTTGGTGGTGTTATGAATAATGCCACAGAATTGGAAACTTGAGAACAGAGTTCCACTTCCAGTCAAATTCATTATATTCACATATACACAAATACTCTTAAGAGAAGTATGAATCCACCTCTCCTCCCCCCCCCAGCTAAGGGTTAATTTGTAGGTTTTTTGTATTATTAAATCATTATCTCCAAAAATTTCTTAGTCTAAAAATCTTTTCTGGCTTTAAATAACCTGCAAAAGGGGGATAAGTCATAGAAAACGAATAAAACAATGAAATACTGATTAGCTACACAGGCATGTCTTTTAGATTTACTTACATTCATGGAATATAAATGTATAGATATCATGTCCACAAAGTGAGGGAACAGTTTATATATTGATTATAATATAGAATTGATCCCCCTTTTTATATCAACATTATAATTTATTTATCAAATTCTGATTAGGTATGAGTCCACCTCTTCTCCCCCAGCTATGAGTTAATTAGTAAAACTTGTATCAGTAAATCATTGTTATCTCCAAAAAAATTCTTACAATCTAAAAAGTATTTTCTGGTTTTAAATAACCTGTAATAGGTTGATAAGCCATAAAAAACAAATCAAAAGAAAAAATAATAGAAAGTAATAAATTGCCGAAACTATAGAATTCCTTTAAAATATCACTGACTTGACAAGATATTTGCTTAATATTTTATAACAGTTATTACAATTTAGCATTTGATATCTATTAAAAAAAAAAAAAAACAAAAATGGTTGGTTTAGCTAAAACTAATGAACAGTCTGTAAGATAACACATGTGAAATACAAGTTTAATCAGGAATTCAGAAAGTGATTCACTTGTTTACAAAAGACATTCAATTCTGCTGGATAGAGAGAAAAATAAATAAAATTCCTATATTGCAGCAAAGTGTTGCATTTATTTGCAATGAGATTTCTTAGCAATTGTTGTGTAGCAAGCTGAAAGGGGAAAAAAAAAAGGTCACGGAGAACAAAAGATGAAGAGATAAAAATTTTGTGTTTGTGATTTTATTCTTTACCTGACACTAAACCGTTAAAAGCAGCTGCATATAAAATGGTTCTCTAAGTACTTTTGTTGAAACTAGCTTTTCTGATTTCAAAGAACACAAGTTAGTGACGTTTTTGTCTATTTTAGATTTCTCATTTTAAGTGTTTAAAGTCAGACCAATAACTAAATTTTAAACTTGATGTGAATTTTAAGTACCAACCTTCCATAATGCATATATAGATTGCTTGAAGAAAAAAATTACATATAAGAGGATGTATATTTGAAATAACACATTTTACAAGTATATGATTTACTTTAAAAGAAGTAATATTTAGTTGAAAAGGCTAGATGTAACTGTAAGTTACATCTAGCCTCTAGCTTTTATCACACTTCTTGCTTGTGGAACTCTCTTCCAGCTTCTTGCTTCCCAGTCAACAATGATTATCAAAAATTTAAATGCAATGTCAATCATTATCTTTTGTTTTCGTGTTTTATTGTTATTTCTCCTTAAGCATTTTTTTTCACTCATATTCTCTAACACTCAATAACTGCTGGTGTCTTAATGGCTTTATTAAAAGGAGTAGAAAAAAAGAAAAAGAATTAACTATTTGATTTCACACCATTTTTTTAAAGTAAGGATAGCGAAAAATGGTCTATCAAATTTGGTACATAGAAAAGAAAATCATGTCTGCTATTTTAAAATCAAATAAGTACCCTTTATTTCAACATTTTTAAAATCATTTCCTCTCAAGGCAGGCAATAGAGTCACTAAGACAAGGGATTACTGAGAGTGAAAGAGAAAAACATTAAGGAGAGAGAGAGAGAAAGCATTAAAAGACTAGGATTCAAAGAGACAGATGATGATAATGATGACCGTGCTGACTTATTACATTATTATATTATACAGTTATTTTTAGAGAGAGAGAGAGAGAGAGAGAGAGATTCTAATTACCGATGAAATCATAGTGCCTTTTTAGCTTGTCTTTTCTTAGAATTTCTAGAAACTGCTTCTTTCCAAAATATTTTGCCAAAACAATCACCACTTTTATGATATATTAATGATGATAATATATGAGAGAGAGAGAGAGAGAGAGAGAGATTACAAAGAACCAGGTATGGCTCTGTACCCAAAACGATTTAAATTTTGTTTACTTAGATCTTAGAATAAAAATAATTCTGCACTTTAAAACCTTACTAAGAATAGAACGTCTGTTAATTTATTGAATGTATTTTGAAAGATCATCTCTAAATAGGTAAAGTGGCTTCATTTCTTGCATAATAAATAACCCATTGATAATAAATGATCTATTTGATGATAAAGGGTTGGATAAGATCCAAGGCTCAAACTGATTCTAGAATAGTTATTGTGTTCACATATGGATTAGATTTTGAAAATTCCAAATAAAAAGCTTTGAGAATCAGTTTTTAATTATTCATACAGATTTTTCTTTATCACTTAAATGTTATTTTTAGTGAATACTCATATTTGAGTAGGCGCTGTGTTCTTTATATTTAAAAAAAATAAAAAATATTATCATCTAATGGCCAGAATATTAAAGAAATCATATTAAAAAAACATATACACTCTCTGGCAGGATTCAAACTTGAATCCCCCTTGGCAGGAGAAACCATCATTAGATCTGACATGCTTATACTGACTCAGCTACAAAGGACATTTCCAATTAAGCAAGGCTGAATAGTGCAAAATCCTTAACATCATAGATCCTTGAGAATCTATATAGAGTTGTGACACGTTTCACCAACATAGCAACATGGAGTATATAAGATATAATAGAGAAAAATTTGATATTTGAAAAAAAAAAAAAGAAAAGAAAAAAAAAGATATATATATAAAATAGTAATGATAGCTGGCCACTTGTATTCGAGGATACAAGTCTACTAGGGTGGCTAGCCAATCCCTATTGCAGATGCTCGCTCAAGAACATTTGTGTTTGTTCAACACCCACAGAGCCGACCTGTGGTTTATACTGCAACTATTCTAAGCAGACCTTAGCTACAGTTTCTGGGAGAGAGGATTATCTAGCATGATCAACAGTCTGAACAAAGCTAGTACACTCAAACCTTTGGTCATGATGACTTGTGACTTTGTGCTAGCACAGCTATCGACAGCCCCCAATTACTCTACCCAATTTCACTCAACTGGTGGTATGGTTCAACAGTGGTATTGGGTCAACCGGTGGTATGTTTTCCAAGGTCTTTCCAAAGGTGTTGCACGTTGGGATTGCCCCCTCCAGATCGATAACATCAGGAAGTCTACCATGGTGAGATTTAAACCTGGGTCTCATGGTCAGAAAGCAAACACTTGGCTACATTTATATATATATATATATATATATATATATATATATATATATACATACATACACACACACACACACACACACACACACACTATTGTGCTAATTATCCTGACCACTGACAATGCCCAATTTATATATCTACTATATTTAGCTGCTTATGAACCCCCCAAAAAAAAAAAAAAAAAATATTCCCCAAATCACCTTGCATCCTATAAATTGAAGATCGGTTTCAGTGGTATCAAGCATACTAACTTCTCTTCTAATTATTACATTCTAAATAGTTACCATAAATTTGGTACTTCTTTTTGGTCTGTGATGAATTGGTTATGATTAGTCAAGTATTCTTGATGAAATATGCTATTTAATGGGTAAAATTAGGGATAGTAGAGAGGGCAATGAAGTATAAAGAAAATACTTTTCCAAACTCTTTCTACAAAATTTTGAGGTGGGACATTTAATGCATTGGAGATGATGAGCTGCAAATACTGTAATATATTTTTATAGTAAAATTAATTCATAGATAAAATATTTTTCCATATAAATAACTTTTAATTTGTCAGTAATGCTTGATCTAATGTTATTCTGGCTATGAACAAACACTTTTACCACTTTGGCAATCCAATTTCTTTGTAAAATTATTTGCAATGCTATTTTACAATGCATTTGCATGATTGGAAGCAAGAGTACTGATACGCTACTTACAAAATGGTGAAAATGGTTTTGTAACCTTATTTTTAAAGCATCAACAAATTGGTTAACAAGTTGTTCATGCTGCTCATTTTTGTAAATTATAAAAATCAAAACAGATTTATTCTAGTTTAAAGGAGAGAAAGGCAAAATGAAAGAATGCATTTTATTAGTGTGATTCTAAAAGGCATACATTCTTTTTTATCCATGTTTTTTTCCATTTTTGAAATGAGCAAGTCATCTCTACAAGATGATATAGACAATATTCTGACACAAAGAATTCAGGTCCAATTAAAAGAAAAAAACAATCATGTACATTTTTATTGATTTGTTAAAAAAAAAAAAAAAAAAAGCACTTAATGCTTTTTGACATCACACCAACAATTTACATTGTATCTATAATTGACAGATTTTGTAAGTAATGCCGACTTTAATTCATTTATCTTACTGGGTAATTTTCTTTTCTTATATATATATATATATATATATATATATATATGAAATGGATTAAATCTGATATGTTGATATTTTTAATTTATTTTGTTTTTTTAACATTATTTTTGAAGGATGCTCATATTCAAGTAAAAGTTCATTTTTTTAATTTTAATTAAACAGTATTTTTTATACAACTGCATATACCAGCCTGAATATTTGAGAAATCTTGTTAGAAAAATATGCGTCCTCTGGCAGGAATCAAACCTGCATCCTTTATGGGAAACAGTCATTGAATTTGACATGCATAACTGCTTGGCCATGTAGAACTTCTGGTCAAACAAAGCCCAAATAGTGCCTTTTGAATAAATTGTTTTTATGTTAGGATACGATACATAGCAGATGTGGAGGTTTCAAGAATTGTCAGAGATTGTGTGTTTAAAAGGCAATATCAATACACCCGTCAGATGCATTTTTGACGAGATTTCTTGAATTTTCAGACTGGTAGATGTAGTTGGATAAAAAATACTCTTCAATTAAAAAACAG